CCCTCCCCCACCCACTCGGTCCTCTCTCCCTCTCAAGGTCGTGAGTGGTGCAAATCCTCTGCCGGGCCTGCCGCCAACCCCAGCGTGAAGGAGCCACATTCCCTGCTTTCTCCATGGGGAAACCATGATGGAGAAATGGGGCAGGGTAGGAACAAGACTGAAAAGGGAAGTTCGGGGCACCATGAGGTCCGCCAGCCTGGTTTCAGAGGGCTTCCTGGAGGAAGTGACATTCAGACTGAGATCTGAAGTGAGAGCTGGCCATGAAATGAAGAGCCGGACGAGCACCTCAGGAAGAGAGAAGGGGAATCCCAAAGGCCCGAGTGGAGGAGCGGGAGAGAGGAAGACCAGAAGTCTGGTAGGGCTGACAAATATTCAGCTAGGAGTGCTCTGTGCCAAGCTGAGTGCTGTTTTATGCCCTGAATCCTGTGAGGCAAGAACCCTGGCAGGCTAGGACGCCCAGGTTTTATGGAAAGGCAGTATAGCACCCCACCCACACCTGTGGATGTTACACATACCTGCTTGCCCCTCTGTCTGGAGCTGGGCCTCCCTGCGAGCCCCCCCAGCCCCCGCCCATGACCTGCCCCTTCCCCCACCTACCCCGGGGACAGGGGAGCCCAGCCTGGCGTTTCTAGCATCATCTCCTAATGATATCTCCAAGGAGGCCCCACAGCCCACCAGGACGCATCACCGGAGGCATCACCGTTTAACCATCTCCAGACCCCCTTGTGGTCTGGTTTCTGTTTCACTGGTGAGGCAACAGGAAAGCTGAGATCCTATTAAGCTAACTTGCAGATGCCAAAAAGGAATAACGGCCAAAATTAAATTAACCCTTTCACTCTCCCTCATCCGCTCTCGCTTCCTGAGCCACAGAAATAGGAGCCCTGAACCGTATTACCATCAAGGGATTGCAACACCTCAGCCCCAGGGGACGGGTTCCCAGATCCAGAGGGGACACCTGGCCTCCCCAGCAGGTCTGGCGGGCCGGGAGGGGCCTGTTCTGCGGGGGCCTAAGCAGCACGGTGATGACCGGCAGTGCCCTGCTCGCCAGCACTTACTCACTGGAAGGCCTCCTAGTCGGGAAGCAGGACAGGAAGAGGTGAGGTGAAGGCTGTGGGGTCCAGTGGCAGCTCGTAGGCACTGCCTGATCTCAGTCTTTCTCCAAGAAACCAAGCCAGCACCAAGTGGGAGCCCACTGAAACGGGATGCATCTGAGAAGGCGAAGCATGGCCACCCACTCCCAACTCAGAGCCCTCTGAAGTCTCTAAGCAGAACAAGGGGAACATAGGCCAAGGAGCTGAGTGTCCGGAAAGCTAGCCTTGAGCAGGGTCCCTGTCCTGTCCTCATGATAAATGAAGCAGAGATTTTGTCATCAGAGACTCCCCGCCAGGTATCAACCCTAGTTCACACAGCCTGGTAGCTGTGCAATCACAGGCAAATTACTCCTCTCTGAGCCTCAGTCTCCTCAACAGTAACTGGGTACAATAACACTGACCCCATAGGGAGGGCCTCTAGAAGAGTGACAAAGGTGCCAGGAAGCTGGGCATGGAGCAAGAATTCACTAGTATTCTTTCCCCCCTCCCAGACTTCAACAGCATCAATTGTATTAATAAAATGGGGTACCAGCTCTCCCAGGTGATGTGTGCAAAGCACTTGGAAAACTGCAAAGGCCTGTGGATTCGTGCAAAGGACCTCTGTTTGAAGAAGATGCTGAGTTACTCCCTTTCCAGCCTCCACTACCCTCAGCATTTCTCTCACCTGATTTCCCTACCCTGCACCGACTCTCCCTGGGCGGGTTTGAGGAGTGTCTGTTAAATGAACAGAGTTAGGTGAACACTAATGGAGCAAATCTGAGAAACTCACAGCAAGTATAAAAAACTGGAATTATGATGCACCCCCACTCCCTGGGTCCCCCACTTACTGTTCTTTTTAAATTGGGCTATAGTTGCTTTACAATGTTGTGTTAGTTGCTGTGGTACAACAAAGTGATTCAGTTATACGTATACACACTTCCCCTCCCTCTGGGGCCTCCCTCCCACCCCCTATCCTATCCATCTAGGTCCCCACAGAGCACCCAGCTGACCTCCCTGCTCTATACAGTAGGTTCCAACCAGCTATCTATTTTATAGTTGAAGGAAATGAGGCCCAGGCACAGAAGGTGACCTTCTTGAAGTCATGGATGGTAAGTGCCTGGGTTTGGAACCCCAGGGCTGTCCCACTCCGAGGCCAGTGCTCCTGCCCAACCCACAGCCCCGGTTCACCAACCTAAGGAAGGGGCTGAACAGGGTTAGCATGAGAGACCTGGGCTGGGCCTCTCCTCCTGTGGGTGCTGAGAGTGGTCACCCCCCCACAATGGGAGACACAAGGAACCCACATGTGATGGGAAGAGCAGCCGCCCAGGAGGCAGTGACGCTCAGACCCGGGCTGGAATCTGCGCTCAGCTGTGCAAACTTGCATAGCCCTCCACTTCCCTGGTCATCTCAGCAGCACATCCCTAAATCCAGGAAGAATCCTCGGCCCATCTCACGGGCTGCCAGGAGATTAGGATGAGATGACTGGCAGGTGTTGAAAACCAGCAAACCCTGTTGTCATTCGTAATTAGCACGCTCAGTATTTGTTTGTGTTTCTAAGCAGCAGATTCGCTAAATAGGTTAAACAGTGTCTCACTCCCCACTCCTTGGGCCTCCCCATCCTGTTCACACTATCCTGCTTTGTGCCCCAACAGGGAGAAGGTGAACCCATGTTCGCATCAGAATATCTTCGGTGAAGAGTTACTGAGCGTTGAAAGTTCCTCTCACATGCTGTCTGTGCTAGCCCTGAGACAAACAGGCAAGAGAAGCAAGGGTGGCATGTATTTCCTCCTTTTGACTCTCATAAGTGAATAAGCAGACATATTAGGTCAGTAGCCCCCCGACACATCTTTGTGGGGCACTTATACATGTGTCAGGCATGGCACTCACCTTTACAGACAGAATCCTGAGCATCACATCACAGCTCTGAGATGGAGCAGTGACTGACTGATTTCCTCCCTTCCTTCCTCCTTTTCTTCCTTCTGGCCCTCGGATTTCTGCCTTTGATCCCCAAAACCACATTTCCAGGCAGTCCCAGGGCCATATTGGGGGAGGGAGCACTGCGGGCCTCAGGGTCTCTGTCCTGGGCCGGCAGTGAGGGCCCAGCCAACTGAGGGGACCCAGGAGACATGGCCCAGTCAGAGCAGCAAAGAGAACAGAGCAAGGGCAGAGATCTTGGGCTCAGAGAAGTCGTTTACTTGGAGAGTTGGGGCATCAGCTGGAGCAGGGAAGCCCTTCTGCCTGGATGTCCAAGAGGGAATGTTTCCCAACCAGCCCCCCAGGTTGACACCTCGAAAACTAATGCCCGAGGCTCCCACAGCAAGACCCAGGGCATCACAGGTGCACAGTCAAGGAACATCAAATCAAACTAACCAGGCAGTCAGATGAAATGCGTCTTCCTCTCACATCTAAGGAAACCAGGGAAGCCCCCAGACAGGTGGGCCGGGTCTTGAGGAAGAAGCAGGGAGTCAGAGAGAGAGCCCAGAGCAGCTGAGAGGGGGATCTCTGGCCCTGGGAAGCTGGATTCAGGGGCTGAGAAGCCCCTCATCCTGGGCTCTAGGTGGCTGCATTCCCATGCCACTGGGGGCCACAGAGAGATACACCCAGCCACTGGGCTCAAGGGGACCCTGTGCTTCTCACGGATCATCCATTCAACCCTTACAGCCAAGCCCATGAGGTAGGAATCACCATACTCAGTTAAAATTAAAGAACCTGCGACTCAGGTTGAATAACTCACTCTGAGTCACAGCATCCATCCTAGTCAGGGTCATCTAGCCACAAAGAACCTACGGACTTACTGTTTGACAGGATAGAATTATTAATCAGTGATTGCTCCAGGCCTCCCACCAGCCCTCTCCTGCTAAGGGGACCCCGGCTGGCCCACTTTTTCGACTCTCCTTCCCAGCCTGAAGACATCTTTGCCAAGAAAGGTGGTTCTCTGGGCCTTTGACAAGCAGGATTAGAAGTAAAAGGAGAAGGGAGAGAAATATCCGAGAGGCGCTGATAGCTCTGAGGTGGAGGTCTGGGGAGAGGAGAAACCTGTGCCCTGGGGAGGCACAGAGGCAGAGAGAGAAACGGACAAGTGCCGGGATCCAGCCTCAGCAGGATCCAGGGGTACCCTCAGGATGAACGGCGTCGGGGAGAGAGAGACGTGAGACCAGCCTTGATAGGGCCAAGTCTGTGAGGGAGAGAGAGAGAGAGAAAGAAAGAGAGACAGAAAGAATGACCAGACGGGAGTGTTTGCAGGGTCTGGCAGAGTCTGGCAAATCTTTATTTTTTACTGTAACTTTTATATTCTAAGTTAGTACATTTTTAGGGGAAGAAAGTTTAACATTACATCATCTTGTCCCTCAGGAAACCAGGGTGTTTCCAGTAACTTCTTTGTGTCTTATACATTATCTTCTGACCTCGGGGCCTATTGACATCTTATGACCTAGGTGAATGCAAAGTTGTTTTCCTATAATCTATTCTTTAATGAACACAAAGGTTAGTCCTTTTGCAGAAGTTATTAGTTGAATTTATCGAAAAGGTTTACAACACAAAGACTCTGCAGCTCCGGTGAGGCAGCCCCTGTTTAGCATTCCTGGTTAAAATGAAGAATTCTAACCACTTTTAAAATAATATTTTTGTGTTACATTAATATGCATTTGCCAAGCAGGCTAGAATGCCAGCAAAGGGGTCTAAATTGAAACACTCCTTTCATCCTGGATAATCTTATAGGATACCGCCATCCGGGGGACATGTTGATTAAAGTTCTAAGTTGATTCTGTTTGGAGAGAAATCGGGGAAGGCCTTCTCCCTGTGTCACAGAGATTAGGGAGTAGTCTAATATAGCAAGCATCAGGAAGACAGAGATCATCTTTAAGGTGAGCGCCGGGGCAGCTTTTCGAAATTCCTGAAGTCCTGATCTGCCTTGCTTGTCAGGCCTCCTCCTCATGACCTTGTCATGGGTGGGATCTCGTGTGCTGGCTCCCGGCAGACAAGTGGGCTCAGAAGTACCAACTTTCGTGACTGAGAAATGTAAGGATGGAACAGAAGTTCTAATGACATCATGTTTGGCTTCTCAATTCTGTTCTCTTGAACCAGCACCACTGAGACTGGATCCCATGAATCACAGATGTGGAAGCGATTCATTTGTAAGGAGACAGGAGGAAAGAAAAGAGAACTGAGACTGAGGCAAGGTGGAGACCAGCTTCCTCTCCCAGCATCTCTATTTTTCCTTTGTGTGGTGATCTTCTCTGTGAATGCACTCATTTACTGTTGTTCACTTTTAGTTTCTGCTCCAGTTTGACTCTGGTGAGCACATGGCCCACCGTGGCCGCCTGCTGCATCTCCTCATTCCTTCTCTAGAATGATGCCAATTCTGTTTGAGTTCCCATTGTGAACCGCCTCATAATACTCATGTTTCCTGGTTCAAAAGTCATTTTCCCACAATTAGGTCTCTTTTTGGAGGTTTCGTTTATCTTTTAAAAGCTTAGCCTTAGGCCATTCCTGCTCAAGTCTAGGGCCTGTGAATCGCTAGAACTGTATGTTGACCCTTCAAGAATTCACAAATAAAAATGATTTATTGAAGAGTCTCAACTTAGTAGGAAATAAGCACAAAAACAGTTCTATATGTTTTATCTTCCCCTATCTATACTATGACAAGTTCCTTTGCTCATTGGTTAAAGGTTCCTTTAACTATAACTTAGTCCAACCCATACATTTCAACCTCCTCAAGTTCCCAGGACAATCTGGTTCTGTTCATTAAGACCCACTTCTGTCACTGGTTTGTTTCTTCTCCTCCCTTTCCCAAGAGAGGCCAGAGCTGTAGCCACAGTTACTTGTGATGGAAAAGGGATGTGAATTGGTCTCCAAACACTTTCCCCCACCTCCTCCTAGGTTCAGGTCATCGAGTGTTAGGGACAAAAGGGAAGGAGAGGGGACATAACTTCTAAGTCAGGCTGAAATCCTCTCCAGGTTGGTTGTCTCTGCTAATTATTTAGTGAAGCCAAATGACCTCTGTGCCCCCGATGTGGCAGGCATCCTCACGCTGGCCCTCCCATGGGATGCACATCTGGGCTCTTCAGAAGACCCTGCAATAAGCAAAGGGCCATTTGTTGCTGGTACTTCTCACTCAACAGGCAAGCTGCTGGGAAGGTGGGGCGGGGGGGGGGGGGTGGGGAGGAGGGGTTGGGGAAGAGGGAGGAGGTAGAAGGAAGGGAGAAAGGGGAAGGCAGGAGGGGGTAACAGGAAAGAACTCAAAGCCAGGTGTCTTATCTGGCATCCACTAAACCCCCCGGAAACTCAGGACCCCAATAGTGGGAGAGCGGCTGCTCCTTCTCCACTCCACCAGCTCTCGCATATCCTCCTCTCTCCTATTCACACCACACAGGAGCACACCAGAAAGTCTCTTCTCTCATTTGTGAGCCCCTTCGAAATATAAAAAGGTTTTTACAAGGAGAAATGACTATAACATTGTAAATCAACTATACTTCAGTTGGAAAAAAAGAACGGATCTCTTGGTGTCCACTTTCTTTGGCTTTAAAGAAGAGAAAGGACTCCTTTTCCCTCTCCAACAGAAAGGAAAGAAGAGCCTCTCTTTCTCTCTTTCTTTTTTTTATATTTATTTATTTATTTATTTGGAGAAGGAAATGGCAATCCACTCCAGTATTCTTGCCTGGAGAATCCCATGGACAGAGGAGGCCAGAAGGCTACAGTCTATGGACTCAAAAGAGTCAGACACGACTTAGTGACCAAACCACCACCACCACCATTTATTTGGCTGTGTTATGTTTTAGTTGTGGCACGTGGGCTTATGCCCTGAGGCATGTGGGATCTTAATTCCCTCACCAGTTTTCGAACCTAAGTTCAAACACACCTGCATTGCAAGGCAGATTCTTAACCACTGGACCACCACGTAAGTTCCAAGAATAGCCTCTCTCTTAGGAGAGCTGCATACTCCCCCAAAGGATGCCAACATCCAGCTTTCTCTATCAATCAAGGGGGTGGGACTTCCATCCAGGGACCCGGGCAACTGCAGGCAGTTCCATTTGTACAAGGCGAACGTGCCTGCATCTAGGAAGTGGTACACGAGATAAGACTGCTAACCAAGTGTACAGAGCAGATGGCTCCACCCAAGGAGGTATGTGCTGAGTCCCGTTGGCATTGTAAACTGGCAGGCCAATTATTTGTTTCTGTCCGGACAGAATGTGCCTTCGTGAGGGGCTGTGGGTAACTGATCACGTGAAACTGTCAGACAAGCTCATCTGGACAACCTAGGGGGGCAGGTCAGAGTGAATTATCGTGCTTCCCAGTACTTTTGAAGAAAGGCAGCTTTACTTCTTTTAAGTACAGTAATGGAAACCAGGTGTGACCAGGAGGGGACCTTGGGGAACTGCTTCAAGGACCAGCTAAGAATAGTTGTAGCTAGTGAAGTGGTCTTTATATGTGAATGATGTGATTTTAAATGTCTTGTTTGAATGTCTCTCCTAATATGGTTTTCTCACTGTCTTATAGTACTTCCATGAAGAAGGGTTGGCTAAGCAAAGGTTAACTACTTCCAAGCAACATCCAAGTTATTCCAAATCTCAGATGACCACCTTCCCACAAAGATGTTTGCCTGAGTTGGCAGCTCAGGGGGAAGCTTGTGTTTCATAGCAGGAAGAGGAGTGTAGCCAAAATTTCCACATGAGACAACCAAGATCCCAGCTCTAACCCATTTCAAAGTAAGTACCTCCAGACTTAGGTGCTCAGTAATATGGGGTGAACTTAGCTGAGTTGAAATATCAAGGGGAGAGAGAGGGAAAGCTGAAAGACACTCTATGGGACCAGACCTGTACCACATCAAAAAAAAAAAAAGGTATTGAAATCATGAATCATTCAATTCAGTGAATGCAGTGTATCTGTTTCCTTTGGGGTGGGGGTATGCCTTGATAAACAAGCCATGATCCATGTCCTCCAGGAAAATTGAGTCTTGTAGTTGAGAAGGGACATTCAGACTAACAATGGCACAAGGCAAAGTAATAGGACAAAAATAAACAGCATTCCACAGTGGGGCAGGAGGACTGCAAGAGGCCCTATGAAGAAAACTTTTGAGGTCAACTTTAAGCTAAATTATACATACACACACACACACACACACACACATACAAACTAATAATGTACACATAAGTGAGTACAATTATTTGAAGAATAGTTTGGCAATGTATCCTGTGGTTGAAAAATGCATTCCATCACCCAGCAATTACACATCCAGATGGATATGGTAGAAAATTCTCCCACATGAACTAGAGGAGGCACACAAAGACATTCTATGCCACTTTCTATGTCATATCAAAACCTAGAAACGACCTAAATGTCCACTATTGAATAAAAAGATGAATGAATGGAGGCATATTCACATAATGGAATCTCATACAGAGGTTGAACTAGATGCTTTAGAGCTTCATGTGTCAACATGGAAAAATCTAGAAAATTTTGTTCAAAGCATTTAAGGATATCTCTGGCCAGTCATTAGTTAGTCACTAGGCTGACCCCACAGAGACTTCAATGGCTGCGTATAAAGGAAATACAGCTTTCACAGAGTTAGTCCAGCAGTTACTAAGCAAGCCAAAAGCAGCAGCAAACCCTTCAAGGAAAGGAGAATCTGATTTCCAGACTTGCCATATTAGATCATCTGTGCCTAGATACATCATAGCCAAACTGACAAAAGGCAAGTAGAGAATCTTAAACACAGCAAGAGAAAAAACAAACTCATCATATACAAGAGACTGTCAATCAAGAATTCTCTATCCAGCAGGACTATCCTTCAGAAATGAAGGAGAAATTACGACACTCCCAGATAAACAAAACAGCAGAAGTCACAAAAAATGTACATGAGCCAACCTAGCCAGAGATTGTTACGTTGGATGTTTTTAATCTAGCTATCTGCTATTTACAAGAGACACACTAAAATATATGGACCCAGAAAGTGTGAAGTAAATGCATAATTCAAAATATACCAGAAACAATAATTACTGAAAGAAAGCTGGTATAGCAATATCAATATCAAAGAAAATAGATTTTAAGGAAAAGGCATCATTAGGAATAAACAGGGTCAATCCATATAATGAAAGGAAAATTTACTAGGAAGATATAAAATTTTTTAATGTGTAGGCACCTAATAACATGACTTCAAAATATATAAAGTTTGACAGAACTACCAAAAGAAACCAACATTTCCACAGTCGTAGCAGATGTCTCGATAACTGCAAGGGCAGAGACACTATTAGTAGTGGTTTAAATTAACAATCTTAGTTTAATGGACAAATATAGAACACTTCACTAAGTCATTATATTATTCATTTTTTTATGAAACATTTATAAAGATGAAAATTTCTAGAAATTAGAAATTGATAGCAAGAAATAATTTTTAAGACATTCTTTTATAAACTGATATATTCCTAAATGCTGTTGCTGCTAAGTCACTTCAGTCGTGTCTGACTCTGTGCAACCCGATAGACGGCAGCCCACCAGGCTCCACCGTCCCTGGGATTCTCCAGGCAAGAACACTGGAGTGGGTTGCCATTTCCTTCTCCAATGAGTGAAATTGAAAACTGAAAGCGAAGTCGCTCAGTCGTATCCAACTCTTAGCGACCCCATGGACCTCACCCTACCAGGCTCCTCCGTCCATGGGATTTTCCAGGCAAGAGTACTAGAGTGGGGTGCCATTGCAAAATAGCTCATGTTAAAAAAGAAATTATAATGAAAATGACCCTAACAATAATTAAAATAGCATTTTTACATTTCTTGATACAACTACAGGGATATTAGATTATGGCTTAGGTAAGAGAAGTAAAGGCTACAACTCAGAGTTAATTGTCCAGCTCAAGTTAGGGAGGAGGGATATAGCAAAGTAAACCCAAATAATGTAGAAAGAAAGAAATATTAAAGATGAGGACAGAGATTAATGGAATAGAAAATGGGCATAAGCAAGCATCAATAAAACCAAAAACCTGGTTCTCTGAAAAGACTGATAAAGCAGACAAATCTCTGGCAAAACTGATCTCTGTAAAAATAGTGATGGTTCAAATGAACACTCTGGTGGAGCCAAGTGGCCACACCAACTATGAGTCCCCATCTCCAGAATGTTACATATTTCCTATTAAAATAGCTTCCTATCTTGTTTAATTCATTGTCACTTTGAGTATCTGTTTCTTGCAATCAAACCTACTCCTAACCAACAGAGAGGGCTGGTTCAGGCCTGAGCTGGCTCTGGGTATATCAACAAAGCT